GGTGCACTGGTTCCTGCGCGAGGGGCTGCTCTTCACCGCCCTGGCCGCGTCCACCTTCAGCCTGCTGTTCACCGCCGGGGAGCGCTTCGCCACCATGGTGCGGCCGGTGGCCGAGAGCGGGGCCACCAAGACGGGCCGCGTCTACGGCTTCATCGGCCTGTGCTGGCTGCTGGCCGCGCTGCTGGGGCTGCTGCCCTTGCTGGGCTGGAACTGCCTGTGCGCCTTCCAGCGCTGCTCCAGCCTCCTGCCCCTCTACTCCAAACGCTACATCCTCTTCTGCCTGGTGATCTTCGCCGGCGTCCTGGCCACCATCATGGCCCTGTACGGGGCCATCTTCCGCCTGGTGCAGGCCAGCGGGCAGAAAGCCCCACGCCCCGCCGCCCGCCGCAAAGCCCGCCGCCTGCTCAAGACGGTGCTGATGATCCTGCTGGCCTTCCTGGTGTGCTGGGGCCCGCTCTTCGGGCTGCTGCTGGCCGACGTCTTCGGCTCCAACCTCTGGGCCCAGGAGTACCTGCGGGGCATGGACTGGATCCTGGCCCTGGCCGTCCTCAACTCGGCGGTCAACCCGGTCATCTACTCCTTCCGCAGCCGGGAGGTGTGCCAGGCGGTGCTCCGCTTCCTGTGCTGCGGGTGTCTCCGGCTGGGCATGCGAGGCCCCGGGGATTGCCTGGCCCGGGCTGTCGAGGCTCCCTCCGGAACCTCCACCACGGACAGCTCGCTCAGGCCGAGGGACAGCTTCCGGGGCTCGCGGGCGCTCAGCTTTCGGATGCGGGAGCCCCTGTCCAGCATCTCCAGCGTGCGGAGCATCTGAGCTTGCAGCCTTGTGGATGGACGGGGCAGCGGACGGGGCAGCCGCCGGTGCGTGCCAGGCAGGCCCTCCCGGGGTGGGCAGGAAGCTGTCTGCAAGCAGCCTCGCCTGCATGGGGAGCAGAGGACGGGGCAGGCCCTTCCCAGTGGCCTGTAAGGGCTTCTGACGCTGAGTGGGCTTCTTGTGGTCACCCTGGACAAGGAGGCAACCACCCCCTGCTCCCTGTAGGAGGAGAGAGCGCCCTGATGTGGGGGCGACTGGGTTCCCCACGCCTCCGCTTCTGGGTGATCCTGGGGAAGTCCCGGCCCCTCTCTGGGCCTCAGTAGGGCTCCCAGACTGCGAGGGGTGGGCCGTGGGGTGCGTGCCCCGGCAACATTGAAGTTCCATCATGGTACGTGATGTCATAGCCTCTTATTCCCCGGTGCGTGCACGTGTGGGGGCCGCGGCTCAGGGGGGCTGTGGATCAGGGGCAACTGGGTGTGTCTTTGCTAGAGAGGGCCAAGGGCCACTGCCCTTGAGGCGTGGCTGTGAGGGTGGCGTGTGCGTGTGTGTGTGTGTGTGTGTGTGTGTGTGTGTACCTCTGGGCATTGCGGGAAGTAGGGGTGACAGTGACAGTTAATGCCACCTCTCCTTGTTGACTTCCCCTTTACAAATGGCAGGGCTCATGCCCCGGCTCTGGCCTCTGCACCTTTTGGGGACCCGGTCTGGAGGCCGGCAGAGGCAGGGGCCTTGGCCTCCTGGCCTGGGAAATCTTCCCTCACATCCCCTTCAGCATGAACGGCCTTGGCTTTCCCCATCTGTAAAATGGTTTAATCACTGAAGGACAAGGTTGCCGGTACGTGACCAGCGCCAGCCACAGGGGACTGCGTGTCCCGTAAAACTTCCTGTGGAGCCAGGCACGGTGGCGCGTTCCTGCAGTCCCAGCTACTCGGGAAGCTGAGGTGGGAGGATCGCTTGAGCCCACGAGTTCTGGGCTGTAGTGCGCTATGCCGATTGGGTGTCCGCACTGAGTTTAACATCAATATGGTGACCTCCCGGGAGCGGGGGACCACCGGGTTGCCTAAGGAGGGGTGAACCGGCCCAGGTCGGAAACGGAGCAGGTCAAAACTCCCGGTGCTGATCAGTAGTGGGATCGTGCCTGTGAATAGCCACTGTACTCCAGCCGGGGCAACGTAGCAAGACCCCGTCTCTTACAAAAGAAAAAAAATTTTAAAAAAAACAAAACAAAAAACGACTTTCCGTGGAGATGTTCAACTCCACTGAATTCCGTACAGGAGACACCAGCCCCAAGGGGCTACGGTGAACCAGAGAACTGAACTTGGAAGTGTAGCTTGTGTTTAATTTGAATCTGTTTATATTTCGGTAGCCCCATGGGGCAGGTGGCTGTGGGTTCAGTGCAGATGTAAACCCAGAAGTCTCCGGCACCCGCAGCTCACAGACAGCTCTCGCCCTCCTCTTCCCAGGACCAAGCCACCCTGCCCAGTCCAGTGTCTGGACAGAGAGAGTCAGAATCCACCCTGCCCGCTGCCTGAGCTCGGACAGCTCTGCTTTACGTCATTTTCCTCCGCTGTAGGATGGGGATGCGGTGTGGGGGGCCATTTACCCACCAGCACAGCAGCCGTGAGCCAGGCGTGGCTATTGAAAATTCATGGAAATTGCCAGGCGCAGTGGCTCACGCCTGTAGTCCCAGCAGTTCGGGAGGCCAAGGCGGGTGGATCACCTGAGGTCAGGAGTTCAAGACCAGCCTGACCAACATGGTGAAACCCTGTCTCTACTAAAAATACAAAAATTAGCCAAGTGTGGTGGCACACGCCTGTAGTCCCACCTACTCGGGATCCTGACAGGAGAATCGCTTGAACCTGGGAGGCGGAGGTTGCAGTGGGCCGAGTTCATGCCACCGCACTCCAGCCTGGGTGACAGCGCAAGACTCCTTCTCAAAAAAAAAAAAAAAAGGGGGGGGGGCCGGGCGCGGTGGCTCACGCCTGTAATCCCAGCACTTTGGGAGGCCGAGGCGGGTGGATCATGAGGTCAAGAGATCGAGACCATCCTGGTCAACATGGTGAAACCTCGTCTCTACTAAAAATACAAAAAATTAGCTGGGCATGGTGGCGCGTGCCTGTAATCCCAGCTACTCAGGAGGCTGAGGCAGGAGAATTGCCTGAACCCAGGAGGCGGAGGTTGCGGTGAGCCGAGATCGCGCCATTGCACTCCAGCCTGGGTAACAAGAGCGAAACTCCATCTCAAAAAAAAAAAAAAAAGAGAGAGAGAGAGACAGGGTCTTGCTATGTTGCCCAGGCTGGTCTCAATCTCCTGGGTTTAAGCAATCCTCCCTCCTCAGCCTCCCAAAGTGTTGGGGCTACAGGCATGAGCTACTGTGACCGGCCGATTGCAGACAGATGGAACTGTGGCCGGCCACCTCACCAGTGTGTCCCAAACACCCCTCCGCATGCATAATGAGAGGGGGTACTTATCTGCTCCTGATTCCTGTTCTGTGTGTTTAGTGGGGATCACAGCAGGCAGACAGGGTGGGGTGTTGGTGGAATTTGGGACGAGTGGAGTCTGGGCAGGTCCAGAGTCTGCCTTCTGGGCCTGTGTAAGCTGACTCCCTTGTCCCCTCTGCCCTGCTTTGGCTGAGCTGAACTATTTCTTGCTCCTTCCCATCTGGGGGCTTTTCACTTGAACTTTGCTGCTCCCAATAGACTGGCCTTGAAGGAATGCGCCTTCCCTCATTCATCACTCGACTTCTGTCTGCTCATTTTTGTACCTTAGCTTTAGTGTCACCTCCTCCAGGAAGCTTTTTTTGATTTCTCCTCCTCCCTAGGTCTCTGCTAGGCGCCCACAGCTGCCTGTGTTTCCTGCATGACAGCTCTGCTTTTACTGGGCACAGCTTTCCCTCGTTCTTTACTCAACTGCTCCAGCTCATCTTTAGAGTTTCAGCTTAAGTGTCACCTCCTCCAGAAAGCCTCCCCTGATTTCCTCTCCTCCCTAGGCCTCCTCTGGGCTTCATACAGCTGTCTTTGTGTCCTCTATCACAGCTCCCATCGCCTGTGGTCACATATCCATTTCCTCCTTCGGACTTCGAGCTCCGTGTCGTTGGATATTGTGGCTTTGTTGGGGTCCTGGCTGTGTCCCCAGCACCCAGCACATGGCCTGGCACACATTAAGTGCTCGGTGACCCAGCACCATGCTCAAAAACCCCCTTTCCAGCTGGGCGCCGTGGTTCACGCCTGTAATTACAGCTTCTCCGGAGGCTGAGGCATGGGAATTGCTTGAATCCGGGAGGCGAAGATTGCAGTGAATCAACATGGAGCTGCTGCACCCCAGCCTGGGTGACAGAGGCTACGTCTCTAATAATAATAATAATAATTAACTAATTAAGTAGAATTCTCACATGCCACTGGCAGGGAGAGTGCTTGATTCATTATATCAGAGGAAACTGAGGCTCAGAGAGGTGAAGCAACTTGCTGAAAGCCACACAGCTGGGAAATGGAGGGAGTTGGGATTTGTAGCCAAGGCTCTTAGTCAGCACAAATACCACTTCTCACTTGGGACAGAAAGGAAGCCCCGACTCCTTAGGCAACCGTACAGAGCCTGGGATGTAGAGATTCAGGGCTGCTCTCTGCTGAACCCTGGGGCTCAGTCTTCCCATCTGTACAAAGGGACGTTCCTTAGGTATCTCCAGCCCTGAGATACTGGGTTCTTAGGGTTGGCAGTTTAGAGAAAAACCAACGTGGAATACCCAGAAAATAACTTTAGATTTCTGGTGAACAACGAATACCTTTTTAGTACAAATATGCCCCAAATATGAATGAAGATAAACATAAATAAGCCTGCAACAAACCCCTGCATAAACCGCAGGCTCCAGACTACAAGTCCCATAACCCACTGCGTCCTCCCTCAGGAACTATCATGACTTTTTATTTTTCATTCATTCATTCAAAAATGGTACAGGCCACCCGCCGTGCGCCAAGTCTTGTGATAGATGCCGGGGATACATCATATGCACAAAACAGACAAAAGTCTTTGCCCTCGTGGACTTTGACATCTACATCCTTGGGGCAGTTTAAGTGATTTTTGTTTTTCTCAGCAATTTCTGCCAGGAAGACTACAGTTCCCGTGATACCTTGTGTTTGTTTGCTAAACCGGCACTTCTTTTTCCCTTTAACTCCAAGTTTCTTCCAGGTCGCAAGGTCACGTCTTGTCCCCCCGCCCCCCACCTTTCGCCCCTCACCCCACATCCCCTCATGCCAAAGACAGGGTTAAGAAAGTGCTACCGCGAAATAGTTTTTTAAAAAACATTTTCATGCATTTTATGACTTGGAGTTTATGTGAAACTTCAGCGGTGTTAGCCCAACAGCCCGCCGTACCTTCTGGGAGTCCCAGAGTGGGCCTACAACTCCCAGGGAGCTCAGCGAGCGCCGGGCTGACTGCGATTCCCGAAAGGCAGCGCGGCTGGCGGGGCGGTTCGCGGCGGTGCCCGCAGGACCCCAGAGCGAGTGCGGGCTGCCCGGCGCGGCGCCCGCAGGACCCCGGCGGCTACCCATGCCGAGGTGAGTCCGCGGGAGCCGCCGCTGCCGCCGTCCCGTCCCCGCCGCCGCCCCGTGGGGCCCCGCCGCCAGCCAGGATGCTGGAGGAAGCGGGCGAGGTGCTGGAGAACATGCTGAAGGCGTCGTGCCTGCCGCTTGGCTTCATCGTCTTCCTGCCCGCCGTGCTGCTGCTGGTGGCGCCGCCGCTGCCCGCCGCCGACGCCGCGCACGAGTTCACCGTGTACCGCATGCAGCAGTACGACCTGCAGGGCCAGCCCTACGGTGCGTGTCCCCGGCCCACCCACGGGGCTCCCCGGGCTCCCCGGCCACGCCACTCACGCCCGGCCAGCCCCAGGCCGATCCTGAGCCCCGGTCTGGGCCGCCCGACCCTTGCTCGGGCCCCAGGCGAGTCAGAGCCCGGCTGCCCTGGACCCCCGGCCCTCCTTGCCCAGCGCATGGGGACCCCCGCGCTTTCTCCCGCAGCCCCCGTCCCCTGCCCAGGCCTCTTTGCCTTGGAACCCATGGCCGGAACCAAGCGCCCCGCTCTCCTGGAGCCCTAGGCCCCCTCTCTCCTGTCCCTGGCTGGGCCGACGTCGAGCTGCCTTGCCGGGTCTCTCTCTCCTGGGTCCCCTCTGCCCCCTAGGCTTCCCTGTCCCGGCCCACTTGAGCAGACGCTTCCGTCCTGACCTCCAGCGCCCAGGCCCCTGTTCCGGAGACCATCTGGTTGGTCCCTGGACCCACCGGGTCACATCCGTGTGCCCACGCCTCCCCCCTTTGCCTGACTGCGTTTGGAGTTAAAGGTCCTCGCACTGATTTCTGCCAGGCTGTACCACTCCACGCGGTGGTCCAGCAGCCCCCACCCCCTCCCACGGCCCTGGGTGCCGAGTGCACTTTGTCCAAATTGAACCCCCACTCTGAGTTTTCTCGCTCTGGTCACCTGTCCCCACGTTAAGGTCCCATTTCTTCCCAGGCCCCTGACACTCTCTGGTCCTAGTTCGGGAGTCATAGGTTTCAGAGTCTGGTAGCCTAGCCTCCCTGGCTGCCTCCCACGTCCCAAGTTCCTCCGGTCACCTTTGACCCCCTTCTCCGTCCCGCCTTTGATGCGTATCCACACCCTCAGCTCAGCCTCCTCACCGCGACTTCCCAGAACCCCACTTGTTCCATCTCTCCAGGATTTCCTCTTACCCTTCCAAATTCACACAGCCCAGGTCGCCTGGCCCCTGAATTCTGCAATGCTCCCACTCAGCAGCACCCCCCCCCCACCCCCGGTCGTGGCCCTGACCCCAGTGTCCAAATCATTCCACATCCCCTTGTCTTTTCCTGGTTGTAGCTGTCTCTGGCATTCCAGAACCTTCTGGTCCCTGGTTTTTCTTCTTTTCAGCTTTGCTCCTCAGGTCCCTGAATGTCAAGGCCTGACCTCCCTTGTAAAGGAGTTCCCGTCCGCATGTTCTCACCGGCCCTTTCGTTCTGAGACCAGATTCTCCTGTACTGGCTCCTCTCGTTACATCTCGGGCTCAGCCTGAGTCACGGGGACCCCCAGCCTCTGCCAGCCCTTGGGGAACCCATCTCTGGAGATGGAACCAGACTTTGGCCTCTGGCCCCATTTTGCCCCAGAGTTAAGATGTTTTCATTTAGAGCTGTTGCTGTTAACCCAGGGGACGCTGGGTGATGTCTGGGGGCATCTGTAGTTATCATGACCAGGGGGTGCGCCTGGCATGGAGTGGGTAGAGGCCAGGGACGCTGCTCAGCACCCTGCAGTACCCAGGATGGCCCCACCCCAGAGAACGGTACAGCCCCAGTGTCCACAGTGTCCAGGGAAGAGCCCTTGGGCCAGGGTGGTGGTGTAAACCCAAGGCTCCGGGCTCCGTAGGTGGGGGTGGAAGGCCAGGAGCTCAGATGCAGTGACCGCGTTTTCCCGTGCTGGTTGGCATTTTCCCGTGGTGGGTGGCACCGTCCTGTAGAGCCATCAGGTGGCTGTGACCTCCATCTTCACTGCCTGGCATGGGAGCCACCAGCCACAGGAGGCTGCCGAGCCCCCGAAATGTGGCCTGTGCAGCCGAGGGACAGGATTTTCATGATCTGCTCCCCAAAGACCCCACTCATATTGCTCAAGATAACCTGTTTCTCCAGGCCCTTCTGAGGCCCTGTTCACGCTCCTGGCGTCTCCTGCCTGGGCCCCCAGCTCACCCGCTTCCCTCCAGCCTCCCCCACCCCTGCCCCGGGCTGGTGCGCTCTGGCGCCTCCTACACTGTCCCCGGGGTGGTGTGGGCCCGTCTCTTCCCGGGAACCCACCCGGGGAATGCATGTCGGCCGTGGAGTGAGCAGGTGGCCCGCCGTTCCCCAGCCAGCCAGACGCCCTCTCCGGCTTCCCGGAGTCGCCTTCCAGCTTCCTGGTGGGTCCTCCTCTTCCCCACAGCCTCCTGACGTCTGCATTGCCTTCCCTGATTCCCTCGCCCCTTCTTCCTGGCGCCCTCCCTGCCTTTCCCCGCAGTCTTTTCTCGTTCCCTCGCTACTCCAAGGCCTTTGCCCGCAATCCAGGGTTTTCTTCCGAGTTTTCCGTCCGATGAGCATCGTCTCCCCTGTGCCCTCTTTCCTGGCCTCCAGGCTTTCTCTCTCCTGCTTAGGAAGGTGGGCCTTGCCTTCCCTGTATCTGGCATTTGTCCAGCTGGTCCGTGGGCTCCGGGAATGAGCAGAGGGGCTCGTGGGGAAGCTGCCTCTTGCTCCTCATCTGTGCCCCAGGAAGCACAGCCCAGTTCTCGCAGGGTAGGGGAGGCCCGGCCAACACTCTCCACTGCGTTGCTCTGGCAGCTCCGAGAGACCAGGGATTTGGGCCGGAGCCCTGCCGAGGACGGGCCCTGGAGAAGCCCAGCGGCTGCTGCCCCCAGCCCCACCACTCGGAGCAGCGGCACCCCTTACGCGCTGGGGATCCTTTCCCAACTTCCTTCCTGCTGCTGTTGAGAAATGCAGGGCGGGGCGGTGCCCTTTGTGTTGGGGTGTGGTCTGGGCCTCACTGGCCAGGTGTGCAATGCCCCTCTCCGCTCAGCGGACTCCGGCCCTGCCGGGTGAAGCGCTTTTTGGGCTCCGCTGCCTTCATGACAGGTAGGGCTGGTTGAGCTCACGGCCCCTCTGAGCTGGGAACGTTATTATCCTTTGAGCGCCTGGCTCCCAGGACCCGCCAAGTCTGTCAGACTTGCCAGAACTCCTTCATCTGGGAGCCAGCTGACTGCAGCCTATAGGTCAAGTCTGGCCCTCCGCCTGTTGTTGTTAATAAAGTTTTATTGGCACGCGGTCACGCCCATCCATTCACATCTTGTCTCTGGCTGCTCTCACTTAGAAACGGCCGAGCTGGGTGATCATGCCAGAGCCCCATGGCCCAGGCGGGGAAAGGGTAGTCACCTGGCCCTCGACAGATAGGTAGATGCCCAGCCTGCTGTTCAGGTCTGGTCCTGTCACTCGAACCGGTGACTTCTGTCAGGATGCCCAGTGCTCTCCTTCACAGCGTCCACCACGAGTGGCCTCTGCCCATCCAGACTTGGGGCTGAGGGAGTTGGCACTGATTTCGCCTCTGCACAGGGCTGTGTCCACACTGGCTTGTGGGCACCTGGCCCAACCCTGGCCCTCAAGGGAGGCTGGGGCCACCCAGGGCCATCTGTGCTCCTGGGGAGACGGGCGTTGGTCACAGAGAGCCCCTGCCCTTGTGCCCCCAGGGAGCAGGAGCTGGGACCCGGACGGCTGTGTGGCCTCGGCAGGTACTGACGAGAGGCGGGGCTCAGACGGGCGGGCTCCATCCTAAAGGCGACGCCGTGGCCTCCAGGGAGCTCTGGCCCTGGCGTCCGCCTCTCCTCTGAGTTGCTGCTATTCCTTCCCTTCTCCGGCCTCCTCGCTCCGGAAAGCGGGTTCTGTGTCCGCCTGTGGCAGTTCAAGGCCGGAGGACGGGGCGGGGAGGCGGGGTGCCTGCCAGTGGCCTCATCTCCCGCCCCCAGAGAGGTGGCATTCGAGCGGCCCCAGAAGGCCAGGGCATGTGGGGACAGGTGGGACGCAGGGGAGGGTCACTCCCAGCATTACAGGACCCTGAGGGCCTCCCAAGGGAAGAGGAGAGGCCCCCAGCAGGCCTGGTCAGGTCAGGCTCTGAGGGGAGCAGGGGTGAGGCTGTGGGCCCGGGGCGTGTGGCGGCTCCTCCATCCTGAGCCTTGAAGCTGGTTCTCTGTACCCACCTCCCTGTGCTGCTCCCGAGACCCCACCCATTCCCAGTGTCCTTCCGTGTCACACCTGTGCCCCTGCGCACCCGGCTGGGCTCGTTGGATGCCCCGGTGGAGCAGGCAGCTTCCCGCCCTCCGGCACTTCCCAGACAGCGCATGGCGGGACAGCAGAGCTGGGGGCTCACGTGCGCCACGGCCCCAAGCGCAGGGCGCAGTGGGGCCCCCCGGGAGGAGCTGCATGTGTGGGGAGATGAGAGAATGGGGGTCCCCCTGCTTCCACCTTCATAGCGGGGCTGGTTCCAGGGACGCCGAAATCGGCCCTGGGCGTCGCTGTTTTGAATGCGTCTTGCTCGGGATTTACGCTGGAGGCCCTGGGGTCGGTGCCCGGCCCACCTGTGGCAGGTCTGCTTTCGGGTCTTGGTGGCGTGGGGTTGCCTGTGCGGCGCTGGAGATGTTTTAGATCATTGCTTGTCTTTAACTTGTGGCGATGTGACGTAGGAATTGGGATTTGCAGCTTCTGGTGTGGCCCACGGAGGCCGGCATCCCGGCTGAGCTTGGTGGTCCCTCTAAAGGCGCTCTCCAGGGTCCTTCCAGAGCCACTGAGGTGGCCTTGGTGGAGCGTGGCGGGCAGCAGCTAGATCCTTGCGGGGGTGATGTGGCAGGAAGTGGGGGGTGCATGTGCAGCTCAGGGGCACAACAGGGACCCCCAGGCTGCGTGTTGCCGGGCGATGGGCATTTTGCAGAGAGAGGAGGGAATGGGAGGCCCAGGAAGCGAGACCAGGAGCCCTGGCGAGTTTCCAGAGCGTCGAAGATGGGGAGCACCTCCGTGGAAATGAATAAGCCCGTGAGGGAGTGACAGCCCCATGCGCTCGCCCCACAGACGCCACAGCTCGAGCTGCCGAGCCTCGGGCCACCCCAGTCCCTGGACTTCTAGAAAGCTTGTTTCCAAGGCCTGGCGGGGTAGACCCAGAGCTGGGGAGCCCGAGGGGGGCTCCATTCCTGTCTCATGGCCCAGTGCAGGGGTTTAACCTGGGGTCCATGGACTGGCTTCAGGGGAGTGGGCCCCAGCCAGCGGCCCGCCCTTGGCCCAGTTACTGGCGTTTTATTGGCACACAGCCCCACATGTTGGCTCACCTGTCCGCCACGGCTGCAGTGACCCTGCAGTTTTAGAGCTGAGTGGTCGACACAGAGATCAGAAGTACTTTCTGTTCTGTTGCGGAAGAGGTTTGTGGGGCCCTCGTCTGGGATCCTGCGTAAACTTTGGCATGGTGGCGGGGAAGTGTGGGTTTCTCCAGGGAGAAGGGTCTCTGCTTCCATTAGAGTTTCCAAAGGGGCTGGGTGAGCTGGCTCACACCTGTAATCCCAGAAATTTGGGAGGCCAAGATGGGCAGATCACCTGAGGTCAGGAGTTCCCGACCATCCTGGCCAACACTGTATTTTTAGTACTGACGCGGGTCTCTCCTAAAAATACAAAAATTAGCCAGGTGTGGTGGCGGGTGCCTGTAGTCCTGGCTATTCAGGAGGCCGAGATAGGAGAGTCACTTGAACCCGGGAGATGGAGGCTGCAGTGAGCCGAGATCGCACCACTGCACTCCAGGCTGGGCGACAGAATGAGTGAGACCCTGTCTCAAAAATAAAACAAAAAAAAAAACAAAAAAGGATTCTCAGAAGGTCTGGGACGCAGTTTAACGTGGGCACCGAGCCCATGGGCATAGGCCTGCCCCGGTGACCAGGTGTGCAGGGGGCAGGCTTGGGGCGGCCCTGGGAAGTTCTTGAATCAGCGGTCTCCCAGGTGAGGGCCCCAGGTTCGGGGCTGGGGCTGGGGCTGCTGGATGGGTTTCTGGCCTGGGTCTGTCTCCTTCCTCTGGCCTGGCCACCCACCGAGGCTCACAGCCCCACCCCTGTCCCCACAGGCACGCGGAACGCGGTGCTGAACACGGAGGCGCGCACGATGGCCGCGGAGGTGCTGAGCCGCCGCTGCGTGCTCATGAGGCTCCTGGACTTCTCCTACGAGCAGTACCAGAAGGCCCTGCGGCAGTCGGCCGGCGCCGTGGTCATCATCCTGCCCCGGGCCATGGCCGCTGTGCCCCAGGATGTCGTGCGGGTGAGCGTCTGCCTCGCATCGGCCAGCTCCGGTCCAGAAGCTGGGGCTGGACTTGGAAGCAGCTGTGTGACCCTAGGCAGGTCGCTTTGCCTCTCTGAGCCCTTTGGAAAGTGGGATGGACGGGGCTTCCCCTGTACCATTGTTCTCCGAGGGGGGGATTCTGCCTTCAGAGGATGCTGGCTGATGTCCGGAGGTGTTCAGGGAGGGCCGCTCCGGGTGTTGAGTGGGTGGGGGCGAGGGACGCTGCTCAGCACCCCACAGTTCCCAGGACAGCCCCACCCCAGGGAGTGATCAGGCCCCAGGGCCCACGGGGACGCAGTGAACAGGACCTGGCAGAACCCAGCAGGTGCCCTGAGTGAAGGTGCTCTTGCAGATGAGGGGCGGGCCGGATGGGGGAAGCGCTTGTTTCTCGTAAATGTCCCCTGGTTTACGCCACCCTCTGAGGGCCTGCCTGCCCTCCAGGGACTGCCACTAGGCCCCCGCTACCTCGACACCCCTGCCAGGCCAGCAGCAGCCCCCTGAGCGTGCGTCTGCTCCACAGCAATTCATGGAGATCGAGCCTGAGATGCTGGCCATGGAGACCATTGTCCCCGTGTACTTCGCCGTGGAGGACGAGGCGCTGCTGTCCATCTACGAGCAGACCCAGGCCGCCTCCGCCTCCCAGGGCTCCGCCTCTGCCGCTGAAGGTGGGCTCCGGGCTGTAGGGCGGGGCTGTGGGCGTGGGGAGGTGTCCCCGTCCTGAGGGCCGCCATCATCCTGGGCTTTGCCCACCCTCAGCCTGTGGCATCCCTTCGCCGGGGTTCACAGTGGGGGTTCCTGGGCCCTGCATGGGCCTGCTGCGTCACCACCTCGGGGCTGGGGCCTCGGACTCTGCATTTTGCAGCCCCCTGTCCCCCGCCTGGCTGCTGGCTATGTACACACGAAAGACCAGAACCACCGACTTGGTGGGAGGCCTTTCCCGTCATCCTCAGGGGCTCGTGGCGTGTGAAAAACACGGGCACGTCTTTAGCTGTCCACCTGCCGGGGAGACCCTCAGCATCGCATCGCCAGCGAGCAGCGCGGGTCGTCGGCGGGGTTCTTAGAGAAAGGGGCCCACGCCTTTCTTTCCTCCAGCCCTGCAAATGGGGGCCCTGGCAGTGAGCTCGGAGCAGCACCTGTCCCGGGGAAAATGGGAGTGGAGCGCTGTCACGCGTGAGGGAAAAAGAGGAATCGGAGGAGAGCAGCTGAGGGGCTGCCCGGGGCCGTGGTCAGCTACTGGTGGAGCAGGGCTGGGAAAGGAGGCCAAGCCCAGGGCCGAAAAGAATAGGGCGCGACAGGGGGGTTTGTCCCGGCCCCGCCCACCCAAAGCAGTTTGGTGTTGTGGTTTCAAGCTATCAAAAAGGTTCATCCCACACCGCAAGATCACTGGGACTCTAGATCCAGCGTTTGCTAACGCCGGCCCAGGGGCCACCCTGGGTGTTCTTGTTGATAAAGTTTTATTAGCACTGGGCCCCGTTCATTCATGCACCGTCATGGCGGCTTTCCGAGCAGCAGAGCTGAGTTGCTGCGGCTGTAACAGAGACCCTCCAGTCCGCAGAGCCGAAAGTGTTATCTGGCCCTTTACGGAAAACATTCCCAATCCCTGGTCTAGATTAAAAGTCTTGGCAATGGCCGTTTTTGTTGTGGCATCAGAAGAGTGTAGTTCTGCAGTTTTTGTTTTGGTTTTTGTTTTTTTTCTGAGACGAAGTCTCCCTCTGTTGCCCAGGCTGGAGTGCAGTGGCACCATCTCGGCTCACCGCAACCTGAAGGAGGAATCTAATACTTGGTAGAGTATTACACAGCTGGTAAAAATGATGTTGAGGGCCAGGCATGGTGGCTCACGCCTGTTGTCCCAGCACATAGGGAGGCTGAGGCAGGAGGATCGCTTGAGGCCAGTAGTCCGAGACCATCCTGGGCAATATAGCGAGAGTCCTGTCTCTACAGAAAATTTTAAAAATTAGCCAGGTGTGGTGGTGCATGCCTGTAGTCCCAGCTGCTCCAGAGGCCCAGGTGGGAGGATAGCTTGAGCCCAAGAGGGAGGCTGCAGTGAGCTAGGATTGAACCATTGCACTCCCAGCCTGGTGACAGCAAGACTGGTCTCTAAAATAATCAATAGGTAAGTAATAAAAAATAATACTGATAAAAAATCCTGACGTCGAGTTAGACTGTGCTGACATGGAGAAATGCTTATTTCATGACGGTTAGTGGGAAAAAAGCAGTCACATTATTGGTCACAACCATCTTTTTAGAAATAATTTTTTTTCTTTGGAGACAGAGTTCACACGTGGGCTGTCGCCCAGGCTGGAGTATAGTGGCACAATCTCAGCTCGCTGCAACCTCCACCTCCCGGTTTCAAGTGATTCTCTTTCTTCAGCCTTTTGAGTAGCTGGGATTACAGGTGCATGCCCCACGCCCAGCTAAGTTTTGTATTTTTAGTAGAGATGGAGCTTTACCATGTTGGTAAGGCTGGTCTTGAACTCTTGACCTCAGGTGATCTGTCTGCCTCGGCCTCCCAAAGTGCTGAGATTACAGGTGTGAGCCACCGTGCCTGGCCCAAAATAACTTTTTAATTTAGAAATTTTATACTTATAAGAAGTTTAAAAAATATTACAGAGAGTTTCCCAGGACACGCGTCCCCCAGTGATCAAATTTTACATACCTATGACAGGTGAGGTTTTGTTTTTATTTTATTATTAATTTTTTATTATCTCTTGTTTCAAAAGATTGTGCTTCTAGGTCAGGCCCAGTGGCTTACACCTGTGATCCTGGCGCTTTGGGAGGCCTGGACAGAAGGATTGCTTGATTCTGGGAGGCAGAGGCTGCAGTGAGCCAAGGTGGCATCATTGTACTCCAGCCTGGGCAACAGCGTGAGACCCTGTCTCAAAAAAAAAAAAAAAAAAAGTTGTGATTTAAAAATGCGTTAAAACACGGAAGTGCAGACTCCAAGTCCTGACCAGGCCCTGGCCCTAAGTCCCTACGTGAACAGCTGTTATTGAGTGCCCGGTAGGAAAGGATTAGAATGGCATGGAGGAACAGTTCTCCAGCAGAACATTCCAGAAAGGAGATGTAAATACTTTCAAGAGAAGGTTGTCCTGGAGGGAGTGCTGGTATTGCATGGTATCGAGGTCTGCTGGGGACGTCCCCGCCCCCGGCTGGTGGGCTCTGCCCGAGACACCGACCTGTGGCTTGGTGGTGTGGGTGCTGGGGATGCCCCCTGGCTGTGGCCTGGCTGGGCCGAGGCTGACGTGCCCTCCCCCTCTCCCTCTCCGCAGTGCTCCTGCGCACGGCCACCGCCAACGGTTTCCAGATGGTCACCAGCGGGGTGCAGAGCAAGGCCGTGAGCGACTGGCTCATCGCCAGCGTGGAGGTGAGTTGCCGCCCGCCCCGCCCCGGCCCCGCGTCCCCAGGGGTCCCTGCCATCCACCCGGCTCCCCAGCTCAGCCATACAAGAGGGAGCCTCTGATGGGGAGCTGGGGTCAGATCACGACCCTGCCTGGCTGAAGGCCCTCCTGTGGCTCTGGTGGTGACCGAAGGAACCCAGACTCGTCACGTGGCCGGGGAGTCGCTCCGTGGCGTGCCCAGGGCCTACCAGCCCCTGGCCCATCTCCTGCCTTCCATCATGGGTCCCCACACACCATGCCGCCTCCTCCCACCCCAGGGCCTTTGCACCGGCTGCCCCTCCCAGGAAGCCCCCTTCAGGCTGCAGGGTCCCCAGCCCCTTCCTGTCACATAACCTCACCTGTCAGCCAGATACTGCGTCCTCACCGACCCTTCCCAGCACCCGGGGGTTGCGAGAGGGTGGGGAGCTGCTGGGGTGGAAGTGGGTGCCGCCTGCATAGCTGCTGCTGTGACACGATCTGGGCTCACCGCAACCCCGGCCTCCTGGGTTCAAGTGACTCTCCCGCCTCAGCCTCCTGAGTAGCTGGGATTACTGGCATGTGCCACCACGCCCAGCTAGTTTTTTGTATTTTTAGTAGAGACGGGGGTTTCACCATTTCGGCCAGGCTGGTCTCAAACTCCTGACCTCAGGTGAGCTGCCCGCCTTGGCCCCCCAAAGAGCTGGGATCACAGGCGTGAGCCCCGCGCCCAGCCATGCAAATAAAGTTTTATGGCCCAGCCGTGCCCATGTGTGTGCACATGTCCGTGGCAGCTTCTGAGTAGTTGTAACAGACACCATCTGGTCCCCAAAGCTGAAAATATCCCCTCTGGCCTTTTATGAAAGTCTAGTCTGCTGGCCCCGGCCTACAGTGGAATCCGACTTTGGTGGTTAAGAGGAGGTTTCGGGGCGGGTGGACACAGACCCTGAAGGGACCCAAATGCCTGGCTGACAGACTTGGTCCCGTTCCTATAAAAGGTTATCCTCCTGCTCTTCCCTGGTTTTTAAAGATTTCAACCTGAGGGCCGGAGCAGGGTGGGGTCCCTGTTCCCGGCTCCGTTTCATCCCTGGAGGAGCTCCCTGGGGCTCCCAGAGTCAGAGGCTGGCACCTTCTGTGGGTCTCGGCGCTGAGGACCATGTTGGAACCTGGCAGGCAGGCCCCACGTAGCCCAAGCCCCCCCCAGGGTTCACCTGCCCCAGGAGCAGCCAGGCCGTTACCCCGCTGTCTCTCCGCAGGGGCGGCTGACGGGACTGGGCGGAGAGGACCTTCCCACCATCGTCATCGTGGCCCACTACGACGCCTTCGGAGTGGCCCCAGTACGTATGTGCGTCCCCATTCCCCGCCACGGGGCGGGGACTCTGGCTCCAGGATAGTGCCGAGGAAAAGCGTGTGTGTGAGGACAGCATGGGGGTCCCAGCGGTTCACCCCTTGACGGCCTCTGCCCGTCATCCCGGTCCCCGAGAGGGCCTCAGGGTGGGTGTCACAGGACTGACACAGGCCGGGCTCTTGCCCGGGGTCCCAGGTCCCCGGGCAGGGAGGTGGCTGTGTCAGACTGAGCGCAGGGAGTCTGAGTCAGGGTCGCCAGGGCCAGCCCTGGGTGCTGCGGCTCCACACGAGGCCGCCTGGCAGCTGTGGTCTGTCCCAGCGAGGGGACGCAGCACGGAGCAGAGTCCTTCAAGGGAAAGGCGCGTGCGGTGCGGCCAGGAGGCCGGGCCCTGTCCCCGTGTGTCACCCCAGCAGTGCTTGAAGCACTGTCACTAGCGAAGCTCCCAGAGGTCCAGCTCGCAGTTCCCGTTAGGGGCTGGTTCTGCGGCCCCGGCCGCCTGGCCAACGCTGGGATTCCAGCCTCCGGAGGGAAGCAGGGCCTCACGCCCACCACGGTGTTTGTGAACACGCTTCGGCCCAGAGTCCGTGCTGGCCGTCAGGTCGGGTCCTGGTCTCAGGCCTGCCGCGCAAGCTCCTTCTGTTGAGCGTGGGTTGAACGGGGTCAGGGCATGCACCACCCTGTACAGCGGCACCCTGCTGCCTTCCTTGAACACAAATCAGCTGAGCCAGGCAGAGCGGGAGGGCCAGCTCTGATCTGCTGCCCGGCTGAGCTCCCGACTCCTGGAGGGCCAGGCCCCCAGCCGTGAGAAAGCCTGGTCCCGCCGGGGCCCACCCGCAAACTCAAGCCGCTCAGGGCGATGCCTCCTGAATGCCTGACCTTGGGTGATCCACCCACCTCGGCCTCCGGAAGTGCTGGGATTACAGGCGTGAGCCACTGCGCCCCACCCTTCTCGGTCTCTTTGTCTTCACTGCCCCAGTGAAGCTTTTTTTGTTTGATGTTTATTTCTTGAGATAGTCATATGACGTAAAGTTCACCATTTTAGAGTGTGCAAGTGGTTTTTAGTACGTTTAGAATCGTACAGTCTCCACCTCTAATTCCCGAACATTCCATCACCCCAAAAAGCAGCCCTGCCCCATCAGCTGTCACTCGGTCCCCTCCCCAGCCCCGGAACCCTGGCACGCACACATCCATCCTGGTCCCTGTGGACTGGCCTTTTGGATGGGTTGTGTGAACGGACGTTACACTGTGCACGAGTCCTTTCGGATCTGGCTTCTCTCACCGAGGAGGGTGTTGCCTCCCTCTAATTCAGTGCCACCGAGGGCCCCTTGATACGCTGTGGTCTTGGGATGGTCCCAAGCCATCGCGGTGTCCAAGAAGCAGTGTGGCCTTTTGAGAACGCAGCTTTAGATCACAGAGGCGCATCGGGGCGGGAAAGGCATGTGGTCAGGCTGTGCCCTGAGGCTGGAGGGTGGAAGGGCTGGTCTCACAGAGGGGACCCCGCGCAGAGACCAGGGGTGAACAGACACCACCCTCTGTGAGTGAATCCGGCCCCGCCCTGGGCTCCAAACTGTAGCTTGTCCCGGCAGGGCCAAGCCGAGGTGGGTGAGGACAGTCCTGGGCTCCGCTGGGCCCTGCAGACCCCAGGCCATCACCCTGGGATTGAATACAGGAGGGGAGCCATCCAGCTGCCCTCCGGACATGGCATAGGGGCTGGGGACAGCGCAGAGGTGACGGTGGCTGCTGTGGGCAGTGAGGTCACTGGGGTGCGGGGACGGGGTGGGGTGACTGTGGCCTTGCCTCTCCCACCCCTGCAGTGGCTGTCGCTGGGTGCGGACTCCAACGGGAGCGGCGTCTCTGTGCTGCTGGAGCTGGCTCGCCTCTTCTCCCGGCTCTATACCTACAAGCGCACGCATGCAGCGTGAGTGCCGGGGGCGGGCGGGGGCTGGGGGGTGCGGGGGCCACGCTGCTGGCGAGCGCCACCCACCAGGCGCCTCTGCACCTGGCCCTGATGTGGGCCTGAGCCCAGGGAACCCAGGAATCCCAGGAATCGGGCGCCCCGTTTATCAAGGGCAAGCCCATCCTCGAAGGCTTCTTGGAGTCCCACGACCTGCTTGCTGTTTGCCCCAGGCAAGGGTTTGCGGAGCCTGCTGGGAGCACTGTCAGCCACAAGCAGTGGAGATGTCCGGCTGAGGGCCCGGGAACCAGGGGCTTCCCTCAGCCCTGTGATGCTGGGGCTGGATTTTCCCCTGGGGTGGGGCCGTCCTGGGCACCGCAGGGCGCTGAGCAGCATCCCGGCCCCCACCCATTTATTCCATGTCAGGAGCACCCCACAGCCATGACAAACACAGATGTCCTCACGCGTCGCCCACTCTCCACGGGGGGCAGAATCACCCTGGTTGAGACCCCCTGGGTTAGGGGATTCCACGGACCCCCCCTCAAGAGACTGTGTCCCGTGTGCCCTACTGAGTTCCCAGGAGGCTGCACACATTGAAATCCACGCCCTGAGTCGGGAGGGAGAGAGGAGGCGAATCCTAGGAACTGGAGTCACCCTGGTTCACACCGTCTGTCCCTGCGGAAGTTTATCCTGGGATCTGGTGTGAGCAAGGGGCAGACTTGATTTTTCCCCAAATAATGAATTCAGGGTTTGTCCCCCATGCCCTGCGGATGTCTTTTACGGATGATTCTGTCCTGGGCACTACCCAGTCCGTGGCAGGAGCACCTCCAGGCGTAGCAACCACAGACGTCCTGGACATGACTGTCTCCTGGGGAGGGTGGGTAGAGTCACCTCTGGGTGAGACCCCAGCCCAGATAGTCACCCGCTCCCAAGACGGGACTCCTGCAGCCATTGTGTCAGCGGCTCAAAGGGCCAGGGCCACTGTGGCTGGGACGTTTCTCACCCTTCTGACAGTCACAAGGCAACTGCCAGGTGCCGGGACTCATATACAATTTCAGGTAGAAACTTGGATTCGAACTCCTGGCCTCACCAGTCCTCCTGCCTCAGCCTTCTAAAGCACTAGAATTACCGGGATGAGCCACCATGCCCAGCCAAAACCTTTTTTTAATGTGGAACCTCCTCCCCAGCCCCCCACTGATGCCTTTGGAGAAGCCCATGCAGTCGTACACATGTGAACGGGACTGGTTTCTGCCGAACGAGGGGCTTCTGGGCAGCCAGGGCAGAGGTTGGGTTTCCGGGGAAGAGGGAACTGGGTTAGAGAGTCTGGGGCAGACGTGGGAAGATAAGGGTAGCCACCGGCCTGGGCTTTTGTTAGGGGGTGACCCCAACAGTTTTCTTCTCTGATCCCGGTGACCCTCTAACAGCCCAGGCTATGTTCCATTAGAATTCTTCTTGGCCGGGCGCGGTGGCTCACATCTATAATCCCAGCACTTTGGAAGGCTGAGGGTGGATCACATGGTCAGGAGTTCGAGACAAGCCTGACCAACGTTGAAACCTCGTCTCTATTAAAAATACAAAATCAGCTGGATGTGGTGGCATGCACCTGTAATCCCAGCTACTCAAGAGGCTGAGGCAGGAGACTCCCTTGAACCTGGGTGGCGGAGGTTGCAGTGAGCCGAGATCGCCCCACCATACTTCAGCCTGGGCTACAAGAGCGAAACTCTGTCTCAAATGGAGAAAAAAAAAAAGAATTATTCTTTAAGTGAATAGTCTTTATTTTCTTGGCTTCCTGGTGTCTGTTGCCTGGTCAGTCACCAGGGTTACTCCTGGACTGAGAGGCCTCTAGAGCTGGGGTCTAATATGGGGTGGCCCTGCTGCCCAGAGACACTGAGCCATCAGTGGTTGTCATGGGGGAGCTCCTGGCATAGGGTGGGTAAGGCCAGGGACGCTGCTCAGCATCCCGAGCACCCAGGATGCCCCCACCCCAGGGAACCATCCGGCCCTATGGGGCTGGCTGGTCAGTGTTTCCTACTTTGGGGAGACCTCCACACCCACCTCAGGGACCTATGACCTGGCCGGGTCTCCTCCGCCCCAGGCGCTCGCCTGTCAAAGCTAACACAAGGTCTCCCTCCACCAGGTATAACCTCCTGTTCTTTGCTTCTGGAGGGGGCAAGTTTAACTACCAGGGAACCAAGCGCTGGCTGGAAGACAACCTGGACCACACAGGTGAGTGGCCCTGGGTGGTGGTGGTGCTGGTGGGGGCCGCGGGGGCGTTCGGGAGGGGGGTGGCTGCCGTGAGGGTCGGTGGGGGGGACCGGGGACCACCACCCGCCCTGCCATGTCTCGGTGCCCTGCAGACTCCAGCCTGCTCCAGGACAACGTGGCCTTCGTCCTGTGCCTGGACACCGTGGGCCGGGGCAGCAGCCTGCACCTCCACGTGTCCAAGCCGCCCCGGGAGGGCACCCTGCAGCACGCCTTCCTGCGGGAGCTGGAGACGGTGGGTGCCCCTTTGATGGACGGGCCTGGGGTTCTGGGGCACACACATCGGGGCCGGGGTGGGGCGTTCTGTCCCGGGATGTCCTTGCTGTCCGTCCTTGGGACTGAAGGGCACACTGCGCCGGGGCGGAACTGGGGTGTCCTGTTCCGGGGTGTGTGTCCCCCCCCGCCCCTCCTTACCCGGGGCTGCAGTGGGAGGCCTTGGGGGACCCCTGGGGTAGGTGCATTTCTCCTTGTTCTGCACCATCGGGGGTTCTGGGAGGCCTCTGGAGCGTTTAGAAAGTGGGCTGGGGTGGCTATTGCCCCTACCCGCCCTCTGCTGGTGGCCCCCGCCCCTGCCCGACTTTTGCTGGGGGCCCCGCCCTCTGCTGATGGCGCCGCCTGCGGCAGGTGGCCGCGCACCAGTTTCCCGAGGTGCGGTTCTCCATGGTGCACAAGCGGATCAACCTGGCGGAGGACGTGCTGGCCTGGGAGCACGAGCGCTTCGCTATCCGCCGGCTGCCTGCCTTCACCCTTTCCCACCTGGAGAGCCACCGCGATGGCCAGCGCAGCAGCATCATGGACGTTCGGTGAGCTTGGCATCGCCCGACCAGCGCCTTCTGGAGCTTTCCTGGGGGCTGAGCGACAGGTCGCAAGTCCAGGGGCCGTGAGAGCTTGCGGGGAACAGCCCCCACACAGGCCGCGGGGAAGGGGCGGGGGTGTGGCCGAGGCCGGCTGTAGGGTCCGGCGGTTTGCAAGCTCCCAGTTACTGGGGTTAGTAAGGTGAGGACAGCAGCCTCGGGTGTGGCCCTCGTGTGGGACCCCCCAGACCCTGTCACCTGTTGAGTTAGGAGCAAGCAGTTCCTGCCTCTGGGCCTCTTCAGGGCTCTACCACAGCCTGAAAACCCTGCCTGGCCCCGGCCACTATCTTGGGGAGCCTGGTCCCCCACTGCACCCTGCCCCTTTTTCTCCCAGCCTCTGTCTGGGGCGCTGTGTCTTCTGGCTTCCTGTGTCCTCGGATCCTGTGTCCTGCCTGTCTCCCTGCCATCCTGTGAGCCCCTGGGCAGGGTTTTGTGGAGCTTGGAACAGTCTGGCTACCCTGGGCACACTCCCAGCTGGTCCTGGAACCAGCAGGCAGATGCCGTCTCCTTCCCCAGCGCCCAAGGGCCCAGCATAGACTCTCACCGTGCCTCCGCTGTGCTCTGGGTTCACTGGGCTCTCAGGAGTTGTTTGAGCTCAGCCATCGGAGGCCTTCAAAAGCCAGGGTCGGGAGGGAGGGGACACATCCCTGTGTGGTCTGCAGCCCTGGAAAAGATGGAGGTGGGTGGTTGTCCACCAGCTAGGAAAGATCGCTGGGAAGTGGGGTCAGCCCAGGAGGGCCACCTGGGATTTCTAGAGGGTCCCAGAATGGATTCTTCCACCAGGACGAAACAGTCCTGTTCAAACCCCGGAAGAGCAGAAAACTTCGTCAGTAGGAACCAAGGCTGTGGGGTGTGAGCCCCACCTGCGCACAGGGGTGGGGCAGGGCCAGGGTCCTGGAGGTCTTGGGGCACGGCGAACAGCCGACTAGCTAAAGCTAAGCTTAACCTTATCTTCTGAGGCAGAGTCTCACTCTGTCACCTGGGCTGGAGTGCTGGATTTCAGCATGAGCCACCATGCCCAGCACCAGGTCCACATTTTAAAACATTGTGTTTGAATCATGAAGGTCCCGGGTGGATTCTAAGACCCTGACCCGGAATACGAGGATCATTGCGGAGGCTCTGACTCGAGTCATCTACAACCTGACGGAGAAGGTGAGCCGCGGCCACGGCCAACCCCAGCGCAGCCCCAGCCCCACCCCAGGGGCCTGGACTCAGGGCCGTCCCCTCCTCTCTCCGCAGGGGACGCCCCCAGACATGCCGGTGTTCACGGAGCAGATGGTAAGCGAGCCAGGGCCAGCGGGTGGACGGGGCAGGGCCAGCGGGTGGGCGGGGTGGGGCCGTGACCGCTGCCACCATCCCCACAGCAGATCCAGCAGGAGCAGCTGGACTCGGTGATGGACTGGCTCACCCACCAGCCCCGGGCCGCGCAGCTGGTGGACAAGGACAGCACGTTCCTCAGCACGCTGGAGCACCACCTGAGCCGCTACCTGAAGGATGTCAAGCAGCACCACGTCAAGGCCGACAAGCGGTGAGGGCCGGGGCTCCGCACAGCCCCTGCTTAGCCTGGGGTCCAGGCCCACCCCCACTGCATCTCCCACACCCCCCACCTCGGGGGTGCCACGTGGAGCAGATACGCAAGAGAGGACTCGGGCCAGGCACGGCGGCTCTCACCTGTGATCCCAGCACTGTGGGAGGCGGAGGCAGGCAGATCACCTGAGGTCAGGAGTCCAAGACCAGCCTGGCCAATGTGCTGAAACCCTGTGTCTACTAAAAAAAAATACAAAAGCTAGGCAGGTGTGGCAGAGGGCACCTGTAATCCCAGCTACTTAGGAGGCTGGGGCGGAAGAATCACTTGAACCCAGGAGTTGGAGACCAGCCTGGGCAACAGAGCAAGACCCCTTCTCTACAAAGTTTTAAATTTTTAGCCGGGCGCGGTGGCCCAAGCCTGTCGTCCCAGCACTTTGGGAGGCCGAGGCGGGTGGATCACGAGGTCGGGAGATCGAGACCATCCTGGTCAACAAGGTGAAACCCCGTCTCTATTAAAAATACAAAAAAGTAGCTGGGCATGGTGGCGCGTGCCTGTAATCCCAGCTACTCGGGAGGCTGAGGCAGGAGAATTGCCTGAGCCCAGGAGGCGGAGGTTGCGGTGAGCCGAGATCGCGCCATTGCACTCCAGCCTGGGTAACGAGCGAAAACTCCGCTTCAAAAAAAGAAAAAAAAAAAAAAAAAAAAATACATAAAAATTTAAAACTTTTTTTTTTTTTTTTTTTTTTTTGAGACGGAGTTTCGCCCTTGTTACCCAGGCTGGAGTGCAATGGCGCGATCTCGGCTCACCGCAACCTCCGCCTCCTGGGCTCAGGCAATTCTCCTGCCTCAGCCTCCCGAGTAGCTGGGATTACAGGCACGCGCCACCATGCCCAGCTACTTTTTTGTATTTTTAATAGAGACGGGGTTTCACCTTGTTGACCAGGATGGTCTCGATCTCCCGACCTCGTGATCCACCCGCCTCGGCCTCCCAAAGTGCTGGGATGACAGGCTTGGGCCACCGCGCCCGGCTGTATTTGTTTTTGAGACAGAGTCTCGCTCTGTTGCCCAGGCTGGAGTGCAGCGGCTGTATTTGTTTTTGAGACAGAGTCTCGCTCTGTTGCCCAGGCTGGAGTGCAGTGGCATGATCTGATCTTACTACAAACTCTGGCTCCCGGTTTCAAGCAATTCTTGGACCTCAGTCTCCTCAGTAGCTGAGATTACAGGCATGTTCCACCACACCGGCTCATTTTTTGTATTTTTAGTGGAGTTGGGGTTTCACCACGTTAGCCAGGTTGGTCTCAAACTCTTTGACTACAAGCGATCAGGCTGCCTCAGCCTCCCAAAGTGCTGGGATCACAGGCGGGAACCACCTCACCCAGTCTGTGTTTCTACAAACACTTCTTAAAGGATTAGCTGTCAGGCATGGTGGCTCACGCTTGTAATCCCAGCACTTTGAGAGGCCAAGGCGGGCGCACCACAAGGTCGGGAGTTCAAGACCAGCCTGACCAACGTGGTGAACCCCCGTCTCCACTAAAAATACAAAAACTAGCAGAGCCTGGTGGCGCGTGCCTGTAATCCCGCTACTCAGGAGGCTGAGGCAGGAGAATCGCTTGAACCGGGGAGGCGGAGGTTGCAATGAGCTGAGATGGTGCCACTGCACTCCAGCCTGGGTGGCAGTGAGACTCAAAAAAAAAAGGAATTAGTTGGGCATAGTGGTGCCCCTGAGAAAGTGTTCCCTCCCCAGGGACCCAGAGTTTGTCTTCTACGACCAGCTGAAGCAAGTGATGAATGCATACAGGTGAGTGGCGGCCCGCGGGACCTGGAGTCTGTCACCCCTCTACGGGTTACAGCCCAAGGGGATCGAGGCCCACGGGGTCTGAGGAGCCACCTCGCTGGTCCGCCGTGTCCTCCATCGTGGGGCCTGTGTTTTCCACAGAGTCAAGCCAGCCGTCTTTGACCTGCTCCTGGCCGTTGGCATCGCGGCCTACCTCGGCATGGCCTACGCGGCTGTCCAGGTGAGCAGTGCCCAGGCTTGGGCGGGCCAGGGGGCAGCGCGAAGCAGGAGCCGGGCTGGGCGTCTCTGAAAGCATCCCGCACCCTGGCCCAGCCTAGAGTCATGTGGCCTGGGGCTCCTGCCCCGCCCACATCCTCACCCCCTTCTGCTGCGTCCCCAGCACTTCAGCCTCCTCTACAAGACCGTCCAGAGGCTGCTCGTGAAGGCGAAGACGCAGTGACATGGCCACCCCCGCAGCCGGAGCCCCTGCCGCTGCCTGGTCCGTGGGGCGGAGCACGAGTGAGTGGACGCCGCCCTCCTCTCCGGGCGGCCCCAGTGGGGACAGGGACCCTCCCCTCCCCCGCGGTGATCGAAACACTGAATTACAGAGCTTTTCCCTGTTGCTCTCCAAGACTGGGGGGGATTCTTTCTTTTTTCCTTGTCTTTGAACTTCCTGGAGGAGAGCTTGGGAGATGTCCCGGGGCCAGGCTACAGACTTGCGGACCAGCCCCTAGCCCCGGGAGCCGGCCGCCCTGGGTCCGGTGTAAGCACACGTGCACAATCAGAGCGGAGACGCCGGGACCCCCGCCCGATCTCGTGCTGCCTCCGCCCCTGCCTCCCGCCGAAAGGGGCCTGGATGCAGGCGCCACCTGCCCCCTGCTCCGAATCTGCCCCTGGACGCTCCTCCCGCTCCCCGATGGTGGCGTGGACGTGGTTCTTTGTCACTGCTCCCTCTTTCCTGGAGAGGGCGGTGCCAGCGCCGGGGTTCCGGGATTCCAGCCCCACTGGAGCCTTTTGTCCCTCGTGTGGTCTCAGTGACCCGTCCCCCCACAGTGGGCTCTCGGGGAGCTGCACTACCCGGCCTTTCCCTTTTCTGACAGTGGCGAGCAGACACCGTCGCGGAGAGCCTCTGCTCCATGGGGGGCCGGCAGGGGCCCTGTCTCCCCCACCCCGACACTGCACACCCCCGGCCCCCGCCCTCCTCTCCTAGCCAGTCCCGGTGGCCCCCGTGCCTCCGAGGCCCCAGCCCAGCCCCCAGGGCCCTCACCTGCGTGGTGTGCCCCCCGCCAGCTGCCTGCCCTGAGCCTGAGCCGGTGCCTGTGGTTTGCTCCAGGCTTTGCCGTGGCCAGCCAGTTTCCGGGGAACTGCGTGCGGGTGGAGGTCCGGGAGGCAGGAGGTGGCCGGGGGAGGCCTGGTGGCTCCTCCCGTCACTCCCCATCCTGGGCCTCAGTTTCCGCATCTGTAGAAACAACGTGTTCTGGGGGTGCATCCGAGCATTTGCTGGGCAAGAGATGACTCGGGACGTGGCCTCTGGGGCCGCCCTTCCTGGGGCTGGGAGAGGAGGTCCGGCCCCCTGGGAAGGCTGGGACGGAGCCTCAGCCCCGCAGGCCGGGCGCCTGGCGTGAGTGGAGGGGGAAGGAGGCCGCGCTGAGCTCAGGGAGACCCAGGCATGTCCGTTCTTTAGCAATACAACCCGCCCAGTGTGGGCTCGGGGCTTGAGTCCTGGCCTGGGCACCCAAGGCCGCCTCCCTTTCGTGGCCCAGGGAGGTGTTTGCTGTCTGAGGGGCCTGGGCCGGCCATGGGAGCCCAAGGGTCTGTCCAGATAGGACCCGGGGGTCTGGCTTTGCCTACCAGTTCTTCGGCTGGCACCTCTGCCCTCCAGATCCTGTGGCCTGGCAGGGTGAGGGGACGACCACCCCTTTCCTCCTGGTTGGCAGGGCACCCCCTCTCCCCTGTCTGCCCCGCGGGTGGCCCGCCTCCTCCAGAGACTTGCCCAAAGGCCCGTCACCGCCGCCCCCTGAACACTCGCGCTGGGACTCGGACCCGGGCAGCTGCCACCTTGTCACCATGAGGGAATGTGGGGAGTGCTTGCGTGCTGGCCAGCGGGCCTGCGTGGGTGCCGCAGGGCCAGGCTCGCAGAGGGAGCGTCCTTCCTGGGCAGGACGCACTGACCGCCGTCTGGGGCGCAGGCTGGTGTGGGACGCAGCCGCCCGGTGAGAAAATAAAGCCATATTGAATGATCACCACGACCGTCTGGTCCGGGGGCTGTGAAGATGCGACTGTGGCAGCTTTTGGGGGGGGCTCGTGTTCCTCCAGGGGCTGACAGGAGGGGCAGGGCTGTGTGCGGAGCGCCTCACTGACTTGCCGTCTGCTGGAAGGGGGCGCAAGCCCCTTGTGGGCAGCCTCACCCTCCCACCTCCCCCTGGAGGCCCTGCTTACAGGGTCTCATGGGTGATGGGTGGACCCGTTTCTTGGGCCACCATCACAAAGCACCACCAGCTGTGGGGCTCAGAACACCAGGATTCCACCCTCACCGTATCCCAGGCCGCAAGTCCAAAGTCAGGGTGTGGGCAAGACCCTCAGGGCCAGCCCGTCCAGCCTGCCTCAGCTTCTGGGGCTCCCAGCCTCCTCAGCTCGTGGCCACATTGCTCCAGACCTCGCCTCGGCTCTGTCTTGCCAGGACCTCCGTCAGGTTGGCTCAGGGCCAACCAGGAAGGCGCCCCCCCCCCCCCAGCTTATGACCTCTGCCTAGATCCCACTTCCAACTGAGGTGAAAGGCTCAGGTTCTTCTGGACGTGACTCGGGGGGACTCCGCAGCCCTGGACGGTGGGCAGTGGGCTGTGTGAGGTTGGCTCCCAACCCCACGCCAGGTTCTGTGAGGTCCCAGCGGGTCGCTGTCCTTGGCTAATTTTGGTTTACTGAGGGCGTGTACAGCGCGGATCTGGGGTTTGTCCCTCTTGGCCTGAAGCCCTGGTGACCCTCCTGGGGTCTGCCCGGAGCCCAAGCCCCTACCTGGCCTGCCCATTTGCCAGACTCAGTAAACGCTGGTGGAGCTGCCATGTACCTGGCCTGAGACCCGCGCTGTGGAGGAAGGAGGATGGGCAGAAATGTGCTGGTGAGAAGAGGAGAGGGCGGGGGGCGGGGGGCGGGGGGCGGCGCTGGGGCAGCCGACGGAGTGACCTCGAGGGAGGCAGGAGTCCGTGGGGGGAAGGGACGGTGTCCGAGTTGCAGCCTGACTGAGGAGGCAGCTGGGGTGATAGCTGGAGGAGGAAGTTAAAGCGGAGGCAAGGGCCCTGGGGCAGGACGGCGCTGTCGGGTTGGAGGAGGTGCAAGAACCCTCGTGTGGCTCGAGCAGAGGGCGTGAGGGTGGGGAGGGGACCGGGCAGGTGGTGCAGAGCCTGGTGGGCCATGGAGAGGACAGGCTTTGACCCTGGGGAAGGTGGGAGCCATGGAGGGCTGCGGGCAGAGGAGGGACAGGCCCTGGCTCGGGTGTTCCTGGGCGCCCTCTGATGGCTGCTGCAGGGAGTACAGACGGATGGCAAGGGTGGGACTGGGTGGAGGGGACCGCGCTGGCACAGGCAGGCCATGCTGGAGCTGGGCCGGGCGGCAGCAGAGAAGGGTGGGCTCGTCCTGTTCCCCTCCCGCCTCCGCTGTGTTCCTGGGGCTACAGAGAAGCTTCCGGAACCAGCCTGTGGCTGGGACCCAGAGGCCTGGACTGCCAGGGGCTCCCTGACCAAGACACATCCCTGCAGTCAAAGCTGCCTCTTTCAGACCTGGAAACTCCACAGACTGGCACGGGCTCCACCCAGGGTCCTCTAGGAGTCAGGGACAGAGCCTCCAACCCAGCACGGGGGTCTCTGCCTCCATAAAACACACGGCCGGAGAGGACTGCCAAGCGGAGGGGAGGGATGGCAGGGACCCGGAGTGAAAGGAATGCAGGACAGGGTCGCTGGGAAAGAAAGAGGCTCAGCTGGCCACGGAGCATGGGGCCGCTGGCCACTGGAGCCGGGGTGCGGGGCGGGGACAGTACCCAGGCCTCCCTGGCCGGGCCCGCACGTGCTGTGTGACCCAGGGATATGGGGGCTGTGCCTCCCTGGGCCAAATGTTGCTAGTTTAGGGGGCTCTAGGGTCCACAGCTTTGACCTTCATGGGGTCCTGCGGGACCCCTCATGAGCTTAGCAAGGCTAAGAGTAGACAGTGGCTGCCCCCTTCTGTCTAAAGGCAAAAGGTGGCTTTGGCCCCATTGTGGACTCAGGCAAAACCCATGTCAAAAGAAAGGGTGGCTGGTTGTGGTGGCTCACGCCTGTAATCCCAACGCTTTGGGAAGCAGAGGCGGGCGGATCACGAGGTCAGGAGTTTGAGTCCAGCCTGACCAACATGGTGAAAACCCGTCTTTACTAAAAATAGAAAAATTAGCTGGATGTGGTGGCACATGCCTGTAGTCCCAGCTACTCAGGGGGCTGAGGCAGGAGAATCGCTTGAACGCAGGAGGCAGAGGTTGTGGTGAGCTGATACTGTGCCACTGCACTCCAGCCTGGGTGACAGAGTGAGGTTCCGTCCCAAAAAAAAAAAAGAAAAAGGAAAGCCGCCCATCATCTTCCCATGTTAACATAAACAGGTAATTCTTCCCCGGCAACAGACCCTTTTTTTTTTTTTTTTTTTTTTTTTTTTTTTTTTTTTTTTAAGACAGGGTCTCATGCTGGGCTTGGAGGCTCACTTCTGTAACCCCAGCACTTTGGGAGGCTGAGGTGGGTGGATCGCTTGAGGTCAGAGTTCAAGACCAGCCTGGCCAACATAGTCAAACCCCATCTCTAGTAAAAATTTAAAAAATTAGCTGGGCGTGGTGGCACATGCCTGTAGTCCCAGCCACTCAGGAGGCTGAGGCAGGAGAATCACTTGAACCCAGAAGGTGGAGGTTGCAGTGAGCCAAGATGGCGCCATTGCACTCCAGCCTGGGCGACAGAGCAAGACTTAGACTCAAAGCGGCCGGGCGCGGTGGCTCAAGCCTGTAATCCCAGCACTTTGGGAGGCCGAGGCGGGTGGATCACAAGGTCAAGAGATCGAGACCATCCTGGTCAACATGGTGAAACCCTGTCTCTACTAAAAATACAAAAAAAATAGCTGGGCATGGTGGCGCGTGCCTGTAATCCCAGCTACTCAGGAGGCTGAGGCAGGAGAATTGCCTGAACCCAGGAGGCGGAGGTTGCGGTGAGCCGAGATCGCGCCATTGCACTCCAGCCTGGGTAACAAGAGCGAAACTCCGTCTCAAAAAAAAAAAAAAAAAAAAAAAAAAAAAAAAAAAGACTTAGACTCAAAGCAAAAAAAAAAAAAAAAAAAAGGCCTTGCTCTGTCACCCAGGCTGGAGTGCAGTGGTGCCATCTTGGCTCATTGCAACTTCCTCCTCCTGGGTTCAAGCAATTCTCGTCCCTCAGCTTCCCAAGCAGCTAGGACTACAGGCACCCGCCTGATTTTTTGTACTTTTAATATAGATGGGGTTTCATCATGTGGGCCAGGCTGATCTCGAACTCCTGACCTCAGGTGATCCACCCGCCTCGGCCTCCCAAAGTGCTGAGATTACAGGCGTGAGCCACTGCGCCTGGCCTGGAGGAGGCTTTTGAGTGAAATCGGGATCACAGGGATTATTACGTCGTGGAAATCTGGGGACAGTGATTCAGGCGGTGAGCACAGCCAGTGCAAAGGTCCTGGGGCAGGACCATGCCTGGCATGTTAGAAGAACAGTGAGGAGGCCCGTGTGGCTGGAGCAGAGTGAGTAGGGGGAATGGGGGGAGGTGGGAGGTTTCAGGCCTTGCAGGGCCTTCTGGGGGAAGGGGAGGGTGAGAGCAGAGATGGCACGTGACCTTCACTGAATCTGGAAAGGTCACTGGCAGCCAGAGGACAGTTATGTAAATGAAATGAGATCAAGCTGCCCGTGCTGGGCACATGTGAGACCTCTTTCCAGGGCTCCCTCGGTGCCCTCAGGCATCCCCTTAGCCCCCCTCAACCCTGGGCAGCAGGCAGGAGGTGGACAAAGACGTCCTCCCAGCAAGGACGTTGCACCCTCTCCCAAGACCCCAAAGAGGCCAGGTCCAGGGACCGTAATCTCTTCCTGCGGGTCTTTTAAGTTGATAAAACGTCAGCTAATGTCCTTTGACACCAGAGGCACTGTCTATACTATATATCTTTCATATTTTTTGTAGAGATGGGATCTTGCTATTTGGCCAGGCTGGCCTCTATCTCCTGGCCTCAAGCGATCCTCCCACCTCAGCGTCTCAAAGTGCTGGGAATACAGGTGTGAGCCACCGTGCCAAGCCACTTGGGGAGGCGCTTTTTTTTTTTTTTTTTTTTTTTTTTTTTGAGTCAGAGTCTTGCTCTGCCCCCAGGCTGGAGTGCAGTGGCGCGATCTCGGCTCACTGCAACCTCCGCCTCCGAGGTTCAAGCGATTCTCCTGCCTCAGCCTCCCGAGTAGCTGGGATTACACGCGCCCACCACCACGCCCAGTTAGTTTTTGTATTTTTAGTAGAGAGGGGGTTTCACCACGTTGGCCAGGCTGGTCTCGAACTCCTGACCTCAGGTGATCCACCTGCCTCAGGCTCCCAAAGTGCTGGGATTAGAGATGTGAGCCACCGCGCCCGGCCCAAGCTAGAGACTTGGGATGAGTCACTTTTCCTCCCTCAGCTTAATTTTCTCACCAGTAAAATGGGGATGAGAACCGCCCTTGGCTTGGTGACATGGAGATGAGCGTGGCACCTGCAGCCTCGGTAAGATGCTCGCTCGTGATGAGCATCCAAAATATGCCGGCTGCATCTAGTGTGTGAGATTGCCGTTCTGAAGACAGCTAGCCTTGGGAGAGATTCAAGGGTGTCTGTTTTCTTTCGGTACCGTGTGTGTGTGTGTGTGTGTGTGTGTGTGTGTGTGTGTGTGTGTGGTGTGATGTGTGGTGCATGTGTTGTGTGTGGTGTGTGATGTGTGTGTAGTGTGTTGTGTGTGTGTGTAGTGTGTGTGTAGTGTGATGTGTGGTGTGTGTAGTGTGGGTGTGTGGTGTGGCATGTGTATGTTGTGTGTGTGGTGTGTGGTGTTTATGTGTGTGGTGTGTGTAGTATGTAGTGTGGGTTTGGTATGTGGTGTGTGTATGGGGTGTGTGGTGTGCATGTGTTGTGTGTGGTTTGTGTGTTGTGTGTAGTGTGTGGTGTGTAGTGTGTAGTGTGTGGTGTGTGATTGTGTGGTGTGTGATTGTAGTGTTTTG